ATTTTGTTGACCATTTGAAATGTTTTGCGAAAGACGAATCTGCTCTATCTCTGCAGCAACTTCTATCATCTTTGGCCGCTTTTTACCACTCAAGCGCAGGCATCGATATGCAAGTTTAGCAACCTTTGCTATCTCTTAATGTGAAGAACTTTTCCCTACTTGAGCATCAAGAATATTAAAGAGTCTATTCTCTTCCATGGAAAAAATGAAATGTGAGGCCAAACTTCTTGCTTCCACTTCCTCTGTCCCTACTAAAGAAATTGGTTTTTCTCTAGTTAAGAGCTCAACGAGGACAAATCCAGAACTTTAAACATCACTGTTTTTTATAAATTGACTTGACTGGAAATATTCATGGTCCAAGTACCCAAATGCACCCTTCACATTTGTGGTCAAATGAGTTTGATCAATGGCAATTGATCTTGATGTCCCAAAGTTCAAAACTATTGCCCTGTACTTTTCATCTGGTAGAATATTTGAGGACTTGACATCCCTATAATAATTGGAAATGGAGGCTGCTGAGTGCAAGTAGGAAAGTGCATCTGCAACTTCTGCTGCAATTGTTAACCTTCTTTCCCAGGTTAATGGGAAGTCCTCATTGTAATCATGTATGTAATGGAAAAGTGTCCTGTTGGAGATGGATTCGTAAACAAGCACAGGAACTTCAGTCTCCAAACAACAGTCTAGTAACTTAACAATATCTCTGTGATTAATTTGTGTAAGAATAACCACCTCATTGATGAACTCTTTAACTTTCTCTTTATGCAGTATTTTGGACTTCTTAACTGCAACAATTCTTTCACCAACCAGCATTCCTTTATAAACAGTGCCCTGGCCTCCTTGACCAAGAATTCTATTCCTGTTGAAATTGTTAGTCGCTCTCTCCAACTCTTGGGTACTAAATATTTTGGTCTTTTCAATATTACCCTCAGTTAAAGATAGTTGTTGCTTCAATAATTAATCTCCATTTTGTTTGATGAGCTGCTTTTGAAGATTCTTTTTCTTTCTCTTCTTTGAGATTTTGTACAACGACCATGTACCAATAGGTAAACACACTACTCCAAACCCTAGGCTAATTCCTGCAGATATCAAGAAAGAAGAAACAGACGACTTTAGCAAGAGAAACGGATGTATATCTACACTTGATTTATATAAAAGTCTAATTTCATGGTTAGACTATTCAAATTTCAAAATGAAATGGAATGAAATCAATAAAAGTCCACGGAATTGCGCATGGTCTTTAAGAAAGATCTTTAGGTGAAAAAGATAATGAGAAATGGAGTTAGTATTGAAGCTGGGGATGGTAGATAGACAAACAAACCTCCCTTTGTTATGACTGTTGGCTACCAGAAGACAGAATTTGTGAAAGGCTACAAAAAATAGCTGAGTTCACCGTGGGCAGCATGAAACAAAAGTTCTCAGTGGAGACAATCTGGATGGCAGATACCAACTAGATACTCTGGTATGGTGGCTGAGATGAAAGGCTTGACTTTCTCTAAGGGAGCAGATAATGTTTTCTTGCACTCAAGAGGCCTATCAATCAATTAAAGTTGTCAATTGTCAATTGATGAGATTCCAGATTTATAGAGTTCCTTGGTTTAGATATGTGCGGCACTGTGGCATTCTAGTGGGATTCCTAGACATCTGTTTATCCTATAGATGCTAGTGACAAGCTCTGTTGAAGACATAGGTACTGAACTGGAGGGGTATGCGTTTGAGTTTAAATTGTTTTTGAGTTTAAAAATGATTTATATTCTAAAATGATAAATAAAAGTCCAAAAATATGGATCTTCCCCAAAATTATAGGCCAGGCTATTTTGCCTTTGGGTTGGCAAGCCTAGTCCCCTATCTTATTTACACAAATTGAGTCCCAACCACAGTTAAAAATGTTCCTGGGGTCATTGCATTTGTCAATTTCTAAGACAAAAAGTAAATAAATAAATAAATAAAATCAGCAAGACAATACTAACAAAAATAAAAAATATCATAGGCATAATAAAAAAATTCCAATTGGTACACCTGCCACCCTTGGTTTACCTTGACATCCATAAGGTAGGCAGGGAAGAAGTATTATAAAAGAAGGAAGAATTAGCAATGGTACCATTAAATTGGGAACAATTAAATGCATGATCATATCTATATGGTAATTGTGATGCATCCTCATCAGTAATCACCCAGTCTAACACTACTGGAACATATCCCTCAGGGAGCAACAACATTATCCTTTTGTAGGACATGAGAGGACTTCCGGAGAAATCCAAAAAATTCAAACTAACAGAACACTGCTGGGAGATGATTGGTATTTTGAAATTAACTATGCTGTGATCAAGAGAGAAATACAGCACCTCAGTCTCTATGCTGGTTAGTAAAGTTGTAGGAGGGTTGGAAGTTTCACTGCAGGAGACCTCAAACTCTTTGTGCATGTAGCAATCTGCTCTGATTCCAAAGGGGTATGGAATGCTGACATTCCCACAATGCTCTTTACAACCAGGCTTCACCAGAGCCTGGCCTACTGCTTATTCAATCATTAGCAATTGTAGGAAAGCAAAGACAGATGTTCTTGTGATGATCATTGTTCTTTTGTTCCTCAGATGCTTATTAGATTTGAGATATAGGAAACATTGTGTAAATGGAACTTTATATGGTAAAGATGAAGAAATGTATGTAGGATGCATGTGCTGGGACTAACTGCCCAAACATTGAACTCCAAACTCCGAAGGAAGAAAGACTCAATTGGCCGGATTCACTAAATATAAGATGATGCATTACTAGAAAATTATAATCCACTTGAAAATTCATTTTTCTTTTAGAGGATGGTTGGTTGCCACTTGGAAATATTCTAAGCTTTTAGTTTGACATAAAAATTCTAATGCTTAGATATCATTAACTCATTCATTTGTTGACCAATTGATTAATACTCCTTTTAGTCTGATTTAGTTGTCTCACCTACTAAATAGACATGGTCTAATTAGTTGTCTCACTTGTTATATAGAGACGGTCAAATTTAGTTATCTCACTTTCTATTTTAAAAAGACCTTTTTTTAAAAAAAAATGAAGTTTTAAAAAGACTCTAAATACTAGTATTTCAATTATCATTATCTGAGATGAAATAAAAATGCATTTGAGTCTTCTGGTTTAATTGTGAGTAAGGATGAAAATGGAAAAATGTACACTGAATTATATCATCTTGGTTCTCCATATAATGCACAGCGGAAATTAGGCCTCTTCTTGTCTTATGATACTTGTTTTGACTTCTGACTTTGCAGATAGAAGAAAACTACTTTGAAAGGCTATTTCAAGCGAATAACTATCTACTTTGACGCTTCTGCACACAGGTAAGTCTTATTACCTGGTTTTTCAATGCTATAATTACCGTGTTATCTTAGAATTTGTTTTTTTAGACATACAGGAATTAAGGGCATTTCATGCTAGTCTGATGATTGTTTTGTCAATGCTGAAGGTGTGAATAATTATATTTTCCTTTCAAATTTCTCCTCATACTTTCATAAGATAAACCAAGCAAGGAAAATATACCCAATGCTTTTTTTCTTTACTGCAAAATCTCCTCATACTATTATTTGTCTGAGAAGTGAAGATTTCAGGATAGTTGAACTGGAATTAGGAAATGACTTTGTGCTAGCATTTTGAGGAATACGATTAAATAACTGATGCATATACATATTAATATGCACATAGCACCAAATCTAAAAGTTGACTTAAATTAAATCTTGGCAAGTTTTTGTGAGACAACGAATTTAAAACTGGAAAGGAAATGGTCTTAGCTGTCATGATGATATCAAATTATTGTAATCGAACGGTGCATAAACTTCATTTGAACTTTAAACTGCAAAGCAACAAAAGTAAAAATTAGATGAACTACAAATTTTCAAACAGTAGAGAAAGAAAGAGCTCACTATGTTCCTCAACATGGAGTAAATTCATTCTAGGATGAATCAGTTAAATCCCCGTCTCTTATTGGAAATTAATGGCTGCATGTCTATGAACAAAGAGGCTCCTGATTAAACTTTTCCAATGGTTTTGTTATCATTAAAATCATCAAAGGAGTTCAACAGCTCCAGAGTCCAAACCTGAACCTATTGATGTCGAGGTACCATCCCAGAGATTGGTTACTTCACTTTTGACATACATAACCTCTTCATGATTCTGTTGACCATTTGAATTGTTTTGCAAAAGAAGAATCTGCTCTAACTCCATAGCAACTTCTATCATCTTTGGCCTCATTTTACCATTCAAGTTCAAGCATCGATGTGCAAGTTTAGCAACCTTTGTTATCTCTTCACGTGCGGAAGTCTCCCTAACTTGAGCATCAAGAATACTAAAGAGAGTATTATCTTCCATGGAATGAATGAAATGAGAGGCCAAACTTCTTCCTCCTTCTGCCCTTGCTAAAGAAATTGGTTTTTCTCCTGTTAAGAGCTCAACAAGGACAACTCCAAAACTATAAACATCACTCTTTTCTGTAAATTGACTAGATTGGTAATATTCAGGGTCCACATACCCAAATGTGCCCTGAACATTTGTGGTCAAATGAGTTTGATCAATGGCAATTGATCTTGATGTTCCAAAGTCTGAAACTTTTGCCTTGTACTTTTCATCCAGTAGAATATTTGAGGACTTGACATCTCTATGATAAATGGGAATGGAGGCTGCTGAGTGCAAGTAGGAAAGGGCAGCAGCAACTTCTGCTGCAATTGTTAACCGTCTTTCCCAAGTTAATGGGAAGTCTTCATTTTCATCATGTATGTACTGGAAAAGTGTGCCATTGGAGATGAATTCATAAACTAGCAGAGGAACTTCAGTCTCCAAACAACAGCCTAATAACTTAACAATGTTTCTGTGATTAATTTGTGTAAGAATGGCAACCTCATTGATGAACTCTTTAACTTTCTCTTTATCCAGTACTTTGGACTTCTTAACCGCAACAATTCTTCCATCAACCAACATTCCTTTATAAACAGTGCCCTGGCCTCCCTGACCGAGTATTCTATTGCTGTTGAAATTGTCAGTTGCCTTCTCCAACTCCTTGGTGCTGAATATTTTGGTCCTTTCAATATTACCCTCAGTTGAAGAAAGTTGTTGCTGCAATAATAAACCTCCATTCTGTTTGAAGAACTGCATCTGGAGGTTCTTTTTCCTTCTCTTCTTTAAAATTTTGTGCAACCAGTATGTGCCAATAAGTAAGCACACCACTCCAAACCCTAGGCTAATGCCTGCAGGGATTAAGAAAGGAGAAACGGATGACTTTAGCGGGAGGTACACATGTATATCAAAACTTGATTGTATAAAAGTCCAGTTTCGTGGTTAGTTAGAAAATTTGAAATGAAATGAAATAAAA